AGAAAACAGACGATAACATATACCAAACAAATTGATTTAATAAAATAATTAATCTCAATAAATTGTGAATTATAATTTGAAAGTATCTATAAACACTATCCATCGTCCATCCAACTTACGATCGCTCCTCCATTGAAAGTATCGATAAACACGATCTACATACCTAGTTGGTTCCGACAAAGCGACTCGGAGAGTGACTTCTTTTATGGGCATAATTTCTCCTCCATTGAATCCGAACAATGACGTATTGACCTCCTTCAACTCTACGTCTAAATCTATCTGTTTATTTGAAACAATCGTAAAACATTATATCTCTACTGAACTTCCCGTATCGTCAAACATATGCTGGACTCATATCCAGCGACCTCTGCCGAGATCACCAATGCATCATTAAGAGATGCATGAATTGCCTTGATGTTTATATCAAAAGTCATTTAAGAGTGTTAAACTTCATTTTATTAATTATTTTTCGTAGATTAAGTTCTCGAGAACACTTGTCGGTATCCTAATTGGGGATGTATTCAATTAGGACTTTTAATGACTTTTTAAGACTTTTTAATATGAATGACTTTTGTGGACTTCATACAATTTTTAGTGACTTTTGTATACTTTGTGAGATTGTTGGAGAATTTTTAAGGAGACTTTTTAAGACTTCCAATGTTAACAATTGGAGACTTTATAAGACTTCTATTTTATATGATTCTAAATATAATAATTAAATTTGTATGAAAATTCTCATAAAAATTAATATGCATAATAACTAAAGAGCCACTATAAATAAAGCCACGTCACTTAAGCATAAGTTATAGCAAAAAAACCCATTTTGTAATTAAAAAAATTAAAGAATGTATCAATTAATTTCTCAGACAAAATACCTCCCTTCTTCATGACTTTTTCGGAATTCATAGAACAAAAGCATAAAAAAAAAAAATAGAAACGAAAAAGATAAAAGCAATATTAATTGCACCTGAAAATAAATCAAGCAATATATAATAATACAACTAATCTTCTTTCAGGTATTAACAAAATAAAATTATTAATAATAGAACAAAAAAAAAAACTTTGAAATTTCCATTAGCAATAGCACATACAATAATCTGCTAAAAAATCATATGTGAATTAGCAAGCAAGATTTTTACCTTGAACGGCCCTAGAGAGACAAGAGTACGAGAGCGAACGGCACATACAATAATCTGTCCGTGTTCTTTTGACCATTTTTGCAGCTGTATAATATAATAAAAAACAGCCTTCCTTTTAGTCAATCAATATATAAAGTGGATTGCTATTTACCCCTATTACTAGTTATCGTCTCCCCCAATTACGAAAATACCCTTTACTATATTTTTTTCTTTTCTCTCTCTAAACTCTCTATCTCTCTAAAACCGAAACTTCAACGACCCGTACGCACGTCAAAAAAATCCCAAAAAAATATCGAAAAAATCCTACGATCTCGGCAAAGCGTTCTTCTCTAGCAAGGT